CACACGAGTCCGCGCCCGCTCCCGCTGACAGGCAGGCAGCCGCCCGCGCCGGGCCTCCTCCCCCGCTTCCCCCGCCCCAGGCCCCAGCGCCTCCCAAGCAGCAGGCCCAAGCCGCAGAAATGTAGCCGCCCGGCCCCGCTGGGGCCTGGAGGTGGGGCCGCCTGCCAGTGTTTTTCCAGTTCCCCCGGTAGCTCCAGGCCGCATTTAGAAGCCGGGGGAACTGGGCGGAGGCCAGTGTCAGGGCACAGGAGGGCCTCCCGGTCTGCGGAGCAAGACCAGGCTTTAGGCCAGGCCTGGGTAGGAGTGGGCAGGGGTGGGGAAAAGGCGGGGCAAGGGCGTCTCTTCCCAGACTGTCTTCCCAGAAAAGACAGCCAGCAGACAGCAACCTGGGACTCCTTATCGAATTCACCTCGCTTCTCAAAGCTCATAGCATCTGTGTTCCCACCAGGCACTACAAAGAACCATAATTCCAACACTGCCCCTGCCCTTAACAGAGCTCTGAATTTGGCCTAGGTGATAGACAAACACAAAAGTGACTCATCCTAGGCATAGCGTGTTAGTTGCCAAAAAATGAAGTTTAAACAAAGGGCACCTAGCAAAGAAGAGATTAACTCTGATTTGAGAGGAAATCAGGGAGGTTTTTTCAGAGATTTGGCACTGGAAGCTGAAAGGTGAAAGATAAGGAGGAGTTTAAGAGAGAGAGGAAGGCCTGGGAAAATGCAGACTTGGGTAAATGTGCAGGTCAGATGGAGGAGAAATTTCAGGAAGTCTGTCTTGGTTGTATTTACATTTTCAAATAGATAAATTGTCTTCTTGTTGATACGTGCTGTCTAGTCGATCCCGACTCATAGAGACCCCAAGGTCGGCGGTTCAAACCAACAAGCTGCTCCTCGGAAACCCTATACAGCATAGCTGAGTCGGAAATGATTCCATGGTACTTAACCACAACATAGGGTTTCCGAGGAGCGGCTGTTGGGTTTGAACTGCCAGTGCTTATCCTACAGCCCCACACCAGAGGGCCAAGTTTCTGCTTCAGTTCAGTTTATGGCCCAAAAGTTAAAAGCACATGATCCAGATTTAGATTGCTTAGGTTTGAGAGTCTCGCTGAACCTCTCTGTGCCTCAGTTTTGTAACTCTGTACTTCATTTGTAACTTCTTCTTGTTTTTAAGTGCCGTAAAGTCGGTTCAAACCCATAGTGACCTTGTATATGATTTCTAAGAAGCAGTTGGTGAGCTTGAATCACCAACCTTGCAGTTCAAAACCACCTTGCAGTCCTGTGCATTAACCTATAGTGCCATACCAGGCCTCATAAAAATTAATTACCATAGAGACGACTCTGACTCGGGAGGATCCCAAGTGTGTCAAAGTAGAACTGTACTCCACAGGGTTTTCAATGGCTGATGTTTCAGAAAGTTTTTCTTCCCAGGGGCTTCTATCTTAACTGCCAAGCTTTCAGTAAGCTGCCAAGCACATTAACTATTTGCACCACTCAAAGGCTCCTAAACCCCAGAGCCAAACCCACTCCACTGCCATCTAGTGATTCTCACTCACAGAG